GAAGGACAGGCAGTCCCCTACAGAGAGCAGACACCAGGGCCTACGGTGGCATCAAGCAGGCAGGTCCGCAGAGAGCAGAGGACCATGGGGAGCAGGTCTAAGCCATCAGTAGGACATCCCCTGAGGGCTCCCAGATTGGAGAGGGTGCAGATCGGGCTGAGGGACCCCTCCTTCCCCGTGCACGAATTTCGTGCACCGGGCCCCTAGTAATATTATATTAGTTGGTGGTGATAATAGCAATGGGCCAAATAACTGTAAGACAGATGCCTGTTAAATTGAACTGAATCAGTTAAGAAACTCCTCTTTTAAGTTAACCAGAGAAATTCAGGAAGGGGAATGTACTCATATCCCATTTAAAAATACCATGATTCCGGCCAGGCTGGTGTGGCTCAGTGGGTGAGTGTCAACCTATGAACCAGGAGGTAATGGTTTAATTCTCAGTCAGGGTACATGCCCTGGTTGTGGGCTCGATCCTCAGTAGGGGGTATGCAGGAGGCAGCCGATCTATGATTCTCTTTCATCACTGATGTTTCTATCTCTCCTCCCTCTTCTCTCTGAAATCAATAAAAAATATATTAAAAATCCCGTGATTCCTTTTTAGCTCCTTTTTTTTATGTTTATAGGTTCATTCAGATTACTTTGGAAAACATTCTCAGAACAGAAAGAATTATGTAGCTCTACATCTCACTGAGTAACAGCAAAATATACCTTTTAAAAACAGCTTTTAATTTCAGAGAATTTAAAATATGCATAAAAGTAGATGGTAGTGAGTCCCTCTAACCACGATCCGGCTTGTTTCATCCATATCCCCCCGCTTGTTTCATCTGTATCCTCCTTGTTTTCCCCAGTGTTATTTTGAAATGTATCTGACATCATATCATTTCATCCATTAAAATTGCATTATCTTTTTGTTTTAAATCCTCACCTGATGATATGTTTAGAGAGAGGAAATGAGAGAGAGAGAGAGAGAATCATAGATCTGTTGCCTCCCATATGTGCCCTGACTGGGAATCAAAACTGCAACCTTATGGTGTACGGGACAACATTCTAACCAACTGAGCCACCTGGCCAAGGCACATTAAGTATCTTTAAAAAGCAATTCCTTTAAAAACATACAGCCACAATACCATCATCTAAAATCGTTGATAATAAGTCTATAAGATCAAATATGCAGTCAGTGTATACATTTTCATTTGTCTCAGAAATAGCACAAATGTTTTTTTTTTGTTTTTTTGTTTTTTTACAAATTGCTAGTTTGAATTAGGACCCAAATAAAGACTATCTGTTATAATTTTAAATCTTAAACTAGTAAATTCTTCCTCTCCCCCACCCCATCCCCTGCCCTTGTGGTGTATTTATTGAAGAAACCAGGTTGTTTTGTAGAGTTTACCCAAGTCTGGATTTTGCTAATCATGCCATAACACAGTTCAGCACTTTCTTCTCCTCTGTCTATTTCCTGTAAATTGGTGATGAGAGCTAAAGGCTTGATCAAATTAGGTTCAGTTGTTCTTGGCAAGATAATTTCATAGGTTAGTTATTTTTCCATCGAAGGGGATATAATGGCTGGCTGACTCTTGTTAGCAGCTGCTATTGATGCCAATGGTCAGCTCTCTCACTTTATTAGGGGTTGCAAAATGTTAATATTTTAATTCTATAATTTCTTCATGTATTAGCTAGAATACTTCTATAAAAATAAACTAATCTACTATTTAGTTGCCCAATAGGCAAATAAATGCTTAATCTTTCCCTTAATTTGCCAGTTTCCAAAATAATGAGTTGGTTCTGTAGCACTCTTTGACAGTGACCAACAGAGCATACATTTAAAATTTTATAGTAAGAGTGTAGCCAGTCCACATATAAACTGTCAATAAGATGAATAGGTCTCATAGGGCTTTCAAATATTTGGATCAGTGTTTCCTAAACTTACTTGGCCACAGAGGCTTTTAAAATGTATGCTGCAGGACGGCCCTGGTGACTCAGTGGACCTATGAACCAGGAGGTCATGGTTTGATTCCCGGTCAGGGCACATGCCCGGATTCCAGGCTTGATCCCCAGTAGGGGGTGCGCAGGAAGCAGCTGATCAATGATTCTCTTTTATCATTGATGTTTCTATCTAGCTCTTCCTCTCTGAAATCAATAAAAACATTAAAAAAAATTAAAATGTATGCTGTATTTTCCAGAGGAGCATAGAACACAGACTTAAATAATTCCACC